TCTTCTTCTCTCTCTCCTTGCCTAACTGCGTTTTAATTGGGCGCGATTACGGTGACACTACTAGTCCCCATGTAGGATAATCAACGACGATAATGAAAGACGCTCGCGCGCGAAAGATGCCGTCTCAGGAGAAAGAAAGAGCGTATCCGGCAGCAGAGAAGAGAATAGTCGTGGGTAAAAGCGGCCGAAAAAAGTTTAACGGGTCACGACCGAATCCGCGATTCATCACGGACCCTCGCATGTACCCCCGTTCGTTGTTCCCCTTCCTCCGTTGCTCTCGAACGAGATGATGAATGTTTTTATTGAATTTTAACAATGCATCCCCCCAACACAGCTCGTGTGGAATAGATGTCACTTATACATGAAGAATCCCGCAAAAAACCCTGTCTCGCGGCAGATGGTCGCAGCAATTATTCGCGTTACAAACGGAATTATATACGAAACGATCGTGCGCGCCTGCCGAAACAACATTTATAGCCGATAGAAAGGTAGTTATAAATTAACGATATCCATTTAACGCTTTGATGGCGTTAAATGGCACAATGTGGCGGCTGTCACGCTTTTTTAGCTCGAACGTATCGGAAGATGGGATGGGCGCAGAATTCAATAAGCATCGCCAATCGAAAAATGCTGTCTTGCAGACAGGTTTATTGCGTGCTGTTATCAAGGCTAATGACGCTGGCTTTTTGTCGTCTCGTAGAAGCTGCTGAAAAGCTATCTGTAATGTTGTAGTTTTCTCTGTGACAGAGTATCAGTATATATTTGAAAATATAGATATGAAACATATAATCTTATTCATCATTTCATAAAATTATTTTTCGAATACTATAAAGTTCGAAATTAATCCCAATCTCATTATCGCTATAAATCTTATAAAATTCAAATATGTTAAGATCCATAAAGCTATTAAAAAGACACTATTGAATGATTATAAATTTTATTATAAATTACTATTGTTATTATTAATATTATTCTTGTGATTTAATACTATTATATATCTTGTAAGAATAAAGCTAATGGAAACCATTAACAGATCGATAAGTCTTTGCAAAAAAAAATATTTTTGTGTATTTGCTATTGTGTGTCTTTTGGAAATAACAAATTACATTTGTGTATATAAAACGCGCTATAAAATTGCGAAAAACTCGTCGCAAAAATGTTACAAAAAGTATATACAAGCGATATACGAGTACATTCGAGATAATTTGTTTATGTTGTGGTGCGACGCGAAATGAAAATTCGATATCACGAGATGTATTCATTCACTTGGAGATCACACACACACACCACACACACATATGTGTGTGTGTGTGTATGTGTGTGTAAAAACATAAAATAGAAATTAAAATTCTATTTTAAATTACATTTTTAATCGCGATTTTTTATAACAAAATTTGTTTTAAATTTTCTTTCCAGCTATTTTTTTTAGATTTACAAATTGTTATAAGTATAATAAATTGCTTTAAATTTCTTTAAAAATTTTCCTATATATTTTCCACTAATGCTGCAATGTTATTTGCTAAACACTTTATTCTATTGGAATTTATCAATTAAGTTCGGTTGATTATTTTGCAACATATCGAAAAAAAAATTATTATTCTACAATATATTATATATTGTATTCATAAATATGAGCCTTACTTAAGTTTTACTCCTTTAATTTATTTGTTAGAATTCATAGGAATCTGTGTTTACACTCATCAGCCGCCCTACACTGCTGGGCTCGTATATTATATTTTTATTTAAATACAAATATTTTTCTCATATACTCACTTGCTACGTGCATGTAACCATGAACCATTACAGTGTTAAACGAAGGGGAATCTCCAGAAACTTCGCAACGATATTTTCCAGTATGATTGGGTTGTAACATCCTGTAGGACTATTGATGCGCGTCGCTTTGATTTATCTAAAATGTAATTTATTTACAGTATAGGTACTCAATACACATATACATACACACAAATACATACATATGTAATGACAAGAATATATTCATAAATTATAAAATATGTATATCCGCGACAACAATATCATTAAATATGCAAAAATCGACAAAATCCTGCAATTATAAAGCTTATGTTATTAAGGTTGTATTATGCAAAATATTATCATAAATAATGTATGTTTTATATGATATACTTTGAATCATATTAAATCAAAACAACAAATAATACGCTTTACTTAATTTGTTTTAATTCTCTTAATCAAGAGAAAATATTTTATTAATTATATTATTACTATTTGATATTATCATTTTTTGTAGTACTTATGCATCTATTAGGTATTATATTTCAAAAGCTTTTAAAATCTTAAAAAAATTTTAAATTATATTATACATGTTTCTACTTTCTCTACAATATTCACTCTAGGAAGATAAATTACATAATTCACAAGTCATTCCCATAATATTGTTCGCAATATTTCATCGTTACACCCGATATCGCAATTACGAAGATGACGTTCTTTGTAATATTTCGTCACAGTAACTATAAAACTATAAAATATATATATATATATATATGCTTAAAAGATCAAGATTAATAACTTTCTTTTCAGAAAAATTTCATACGAGGCAGCATAAAAAAGGGGACGTATAAATTACATATTTTATTCGGCTGTAAATGACCATCAATGATACTACCGCTGAATACCTACTGAATTTTGAGTTAATTTAGCATCGACCGCAAAATTGACCGAGTGTACAGAACCGGCGAATGCCATTTATTGCAAATCGATCGCACTTTACTCGTCCTCATGCATTCGCTCGTCCGCGACAAACAATATCTCGCAACAGGGATTAATTGTATGTTGCCGGTGGCAGCATATAAATCATACAATTAATTTTGCTGTGTTTTGCTTCGTGTTTGTGACACCGACACGCTCATATACCGTATTATGGATAAGCGACGATCATTGCTAAAGGGATATGACAAATTTCCAAAATATTTTTAAAATTTTTAAAACGAGAATTGTGTATTGGGAGAGAGAGAGAGAGAGAGAGAGAGAGAGAGAGCACAGAAAATGTTAATATTAATGTTATTGTAATTTGATTATATAATCTTATGCTGCTAGTTGAAAAATAGATTTGATGATAATTTAAATAAATTTAGATACATTTCTTATACACAAATTAATTGAAATAATTTAGGTGAAAAAGCCATGTTGATATATCATGATGTTTATTATTATTATTTTGAAATGTATACGTGTGCGAGAAACAGAATATTTCCAGCATCATATAAAAAGTTTCATTTTCTTAGAAAAATATCATTTTTATCATTCCTCGAATGATTAATCGACATAAAACGGCATTCAAGTATATTGATATTAAAATAAGGAAGAAAATAATAGAAATAAAATATTAAAGATCTTAAATACTTTTTTTACAATTTATAATAGTACATTATTATATTTTTAACATGTATTTTTTATAGTATGATTGATATTTCTTATTATCTTTCATATATCTTTGTATTATCTTTGTGAATTTTTCGTATATTTGTGACATATACAGCATTCAATACTCATTTTTTGCAAATAATAGCCTACAGTTGTTTATACGACCTTGTCATTCGCACGAGATTTGAAAAAAAGAGGATCCGAAATAGTGACATATGTGACATAAGACAATGATATTCTATGTATCATCATGCTGTTTGAGATGCGATCGCGATAAGTACAGAGTACAGAGACGTGTCAAACGCAACTATTCTTTAACAATTAAGGAGATTATTGACTCACACGATTAATCAACCATAATTAATGATTATAAACGTATTAACAGCTGTTTATGAAGCAAGAATTAAAATAATAAATTATATGAATATAGTAAATTATTATTTTATTAATTGTGTTTATGATAATTATATCTTTAACTATATCTTTGATATTTTGTTTTAAACTTTTCATTTTCTAACTTGCCTATTATATCTAATTTAGGACAAGTAATATATGTATATATATATGTATATTTTTCTGTGTTTTATATATATATATATATTTAAATATATATTTTTTCTCATTTTATTTAATCTAATCGAATATAATTACGCTAAATAAAAGTTTATATTATTCTTTGGGTAAAATCTTAAAAATTGCAACGCATGTATAAAAATTATTATTCCAATGCATGCATAAAAACGTATTAATCAATTGTGCAATGCACATAAAAATTCATTATTTAAATCTTTAACAGAAAATGTGAAAAAAATAAAATTTTCTATAAGAATCTCTCGATCAAATACTTGTCCTTCTATCAAACTCGCGTGTCTCTTTACATCTATTACACTACAATCCGCTGCACGTTTCGCGGGAGACTGATCGTCTCGCTAGTTTATGTGGCCGGGAAGGTGAGTTTCGCCGTCAGTTGGCGACACCGTTGCGCAGAGTCGTGCGGTCGGTGGTGGGGATTAGTCTTGTGTGAGACTCGCAGCGTGAAGGACGGATGGAACGCACGTATCTAACAGCAGATAGAAAGAGAGAAAGAAAGAGACGTTGAGCCAGGCGAGGTGCATCGCCGGGCTCATTCTTGGCTGTAAAGTTAGGTTTTACCATTAGATGGCGATACCGCACTGCTTTGCAGAGTCACGTAACTTGTGGTTGACGACTCGACGACGGACATCAGTCTTGCACGAGACGTGCGGCGTAGCAAATATATATGACTGTGTTCGTGTTGACGCTTTCAAAATTGTAAGCATTACTCTATTTTTGTTTTGCATCACATATCAAACGAAGATAAAGCGATGCTTTTAGCGTTGAAAGTGTCACAACGAACGTAACCATAGAGACATGCAAGTCTAATGGAAGAGCAGATATTTTGATCGAAATATTTTTGCAGAAAATTTTATTTTTTGTTCGCATTTTTCTATTAAAGATTTAAATATTGAATTTTTATGTGCATTGCATAATTAATTAATATATTCTTATGCTTGCATTGCAATAATTTTTATGCATGCATTGCGATTTTTAAGATTTTATTAATTATCAATAACAGTTATTAACTTGATGACTCTTGTAGTAGTAAGGTATCAAAGTGAAGTTGCTGCTATCTTTTCAGTACTGTCGATCATTAACGAAACGCCACGGGCACGCAACGCTTTGACTCCGAGTCAAATTCGATGTGGCGACGCATTTAATTAGTAAGTACAACACTAACACAAACTTCCTGTTTCGATATCTGTTATCGCATAGCGTATAACTTCGATTCGTTGTATTGCTGATTTACTGAAACACGTATTTGCAAAAATCTCTGTCAAAATACATTAATTGTGTGTTAACAATCGTCAAAGAGACGTGATTGCATATACATATATTGAGAGATCGGCGGATGTATATTGATCTTTAACTCGTGTATGTATTTATTCTTTCACATTATAACACGAGATTGCTCGAAAACGTGAGTGCGTGTACTATTTATTGTTATTCCAAGCGCAAAAAATACAGTATAGATTGCTAAAAGCACGGAAAAGTGTAGACAGATAGGAGTACGAAAGTATAGATACGAGCAGCAGTGTCGCACGCGACAATATACCACATGAAGTTTTCACGCGTAAAGTTTTCCCGCGTGATTTTCTCTCTAGGTTCGAGATTCGTCTACGGCACTGCAAAAGTTGCGGGTAGAATTGTAGCTTCGCGCATTTTTTCACGTTATTCTTTCGTATACAATAAACTACGTGTTGCATGTGTATCGATGTATGTGCGCGCGTATGTGTGTATGCGGTTAATATCGGGAGTGCCGTGCAAAGTGCCGCACGATCGTCGCGTTTTGGTAATTAGCGCGCGCGCGACCATGATTAACTTTATTTTCGCGGGAGATTGTTATGCGAGCGCCACAAAGGAGCAGCAACAAGAGAGGAGGCCAGGAAACATCGAGCGACAATTGAACAATCGTGAGGTAATTTATTATTTATTTATTATTGAATACCTGTACGCGCGAGATTTATATCGCATATTCATTAAACAGGCATTTGAATGATATATTCTAAAATTAGAATTTAATTTGTATTAATTCTTATAACACAGTTTATAACAAAGTGATGACATATTAAACTTGTGACAAAAAATTTCAGAAATTCATAATTATTTTATTAAATATCTATTTAAAAGATAAAAATTTATAATTAAAATTTTATTACGTAATTATTTTCTTTAAATATACATATATGAACAATTATTTTTTGAAATATAAATTATTTTGGACGCTATTTTAATTATATTTGTAATTTTATAGATTACAATTACGTGAGTGCCACAATGCAGCAACAACGGAGAGACAAGAGAGGAGGAGAAGGCCAGGGAGGCATCGGGCGACAGTGGAATAATCATGAGGTAATTTATGATTTATTTATTTATTGATTACTAGTACGCGTGAGATTTATCACCGTACATCTCCTAGTCATTCATGATATATTCTAAAATTAGAATTTTGTATGTATAAATTTTTATAAAAGATTGTGACAAAGTGATGACATTAAGTTTGTGACAAAAAAATTTTGGAAAATGCATAATTAGTCTATTAAATATCTATTACATTTAAAAAATAAAAATTTATAATAAAAAATTCATTATGCTATTATTTTTTTTTTAATATACATAAATTTTACAATTATTTTTTGAAATATTAATTATTTTGGATGCTATTTTAATTTAAATTATATATTTATTATATTATTAAATTATATTTTACAGATCATTGTGTTGATGTTACAATTTCGCTGCCGCATCGTATCGGTGAGTAATGAATTATTTTTTATTTTTTGTATGAAATGGATCGATTATATTGATTTTCATTTAAACGATATTGCAAGAAATCTCCGAGAGACAAGAGATGAACTTAATTAATTATAATGTTTTTATTTTATTATACATATTTGTTCAAAACTCATCTATACACAATAGTTATCACCTAGTGAAATAATCGATCTCTTTGCGTTCACCGCGATTTATCTCGAACATCAAAATAACGGCCAGATATATTCCGATCGGAGATCAACTGGTACTCTCATGCGTATAAAGGCAACAACGCGGCGGTATCGTTTTACTTCACGCCCGGATTACATAATATAGCGATTCAACAATGCTCGGTCTGATACGCTCACGCATAAATTTATTGAACTCGCTCGGCGAATATTAATATTGTTAGCCTCTCGCAAAATACGAAACGCGGTATTCTCTGTGCCTATCTCTATGCTCTCTTGCCGTGCTTCCCCTTTGCTTTATATTCGCAATCCTCTCGCATCCGCGGTCGCACAGCCACAATTCTCGTCTATATTTCTCTCCCCTGCGGGAGGTGCGTCGCGATTTATTGGTTCAAGTGTTATCCGTACTTTCCGCCGGTAAAATCTAATTGGAAAACCATTGCGTGCACGAAAACGCTTCGTTTGGCCGAACTCGTGCCGGTTATCACGGAAATCGCGTGTTGCGTAAAGCATTTATTTTTTCTTCTCTTTTTCAATAAGGTCCAAAAAACATTGATTTTTCGATCGTTTCTTTTATCCGTGACGGCTACATGCATGTATTTCTTGTGTATATCGATTATTGTATAACAAGTCGTCTTTCTCTACTTGTACAATTTTTCGATAAATTGAAACTTTGCTTTGTCGCGTTAAAGAAAAGAAAAATCTTTAAAATCGATCGCATCATTTCAATTGTGCATTAAAAATATGTTTCAAATAAATAATAAAATTGTCTTTAATTAAAACGCAATCCAACTAATTAAAAAGATATTTTATAATGTTATGAAAGGTATGTTATGCTTTCATAAATTAACAAATGACTAAAAGCTGCGTAATTATTTTTGACTGTTCTTTATATTAAAACAACCAAAATTTACATGTAGTTGAAATTTTAAAGTTGGAATATTTCAAGAGATTGTGTAAATGCTTTACTTCGCTTTAATTCAGATTGAATGAAGCTGTTAACTCTGCTTTAGTTTAGCTTGGATAAAGCTCTCTTTTAACAGCTTTTTTAATTTGCCTCGCAAACATTAATTTTGTAATTACACTTTTTTTTTACTTACCACACATAGGTATATACGAATATGTGCGTAGTTAGAAATATTACATATGTAGTGCGCGAATTGAATTCCTCTGTTCTCGTTTCTTTCTCCGTTGAGATAATGGGTCGTAATCGCCCGTGAACAAAGTGCCGATGTCGTGATAAATTCAAAGTTGTCTTTGAAATGTCGCATTAAAGTATAGAGACGTAAAAAGATTTCTTCCGTAAAGTAATCTCATTAAAATAAATTTTCAACAGACTGATTACTGATTCATACAAGATTTATATGTCTATATATACATGTAAACTAATGTTATTATTATTATTATATAAATTATTGAATTCATCTATTTAGAATTGCAAAGGTGGACTTTTATATAACTTTTTTATACAAATGCGCGGTAATGAAAAGCAGATTACTAAGCTTTGCTGTAGCAAACAGTGTTGGTTAGCGGAAGTAATATCTTTTGCATTAATAAGCGAGGAAAAGGGAGCATTCAGAAACCAGAGCACGTAACTGACCCGTTTTCAAAATAATATTGAAATTTATCATGTTTGATTTATCACGCAAGCTTTGTATGCATCCGTGTATATGATATTGTTACGCCTAGAATGCAATAATAATGGTTGATTGACATTTTATACCTTCTAGATTGCAAGACAAAATGTGAATGTATTGTTTCCATTTATATATACTACTTAATTCTCGTGTCTATAATGACAAATTGAAACATGTGGGAAAAAGCGATAAGCTTCAGTTTAAACGATTAAATTACTAGTTAATGAAAGAAATCTTGATAACAGAACATCCGCATGGCAGCAATCACGATAAAACTTAAGATTAAAACCATCATCGTAGACGGGATCTTTACCTCATAATTTATAGATGCTTTATGTTAAATATTAGAACTATATCATCCGCACAGAATATACATTTGCTGATGTGGTGTTGCTGTATTTGTAACACAATGCACGTGATTACATTATATAAATATATTATGCGCAAATGTATGTTAACATGCCTCGCGTATTTATTAAGCGTAAAATAAACGTCGGTCATAATTTCTGTCGCCGAATGAGCAATGACGTTACATGAATTGTTATTTCAAGTATATAATAATTTAATTTAACTGGTGCTACATGGCATGCTTCTTTGATACAATGATACTATAATACATTTGCTGTGCCTATATTTTGTTAAATTAATTTCTGTCACAAATTACAACGATATACAAGCCGGAACAAAATATCACATATAAATATTTTTATTTTAAAAATACAGTTTTTCTGTTTCGAACGTAAAATGTGAGCTTCGGAAGTATATTTGCTCGCAGCACGTAGACGAAATAAATGTATTCTATATTTGCTTGTTGCGATAGGGAAGGTATACGAAAAAAGGGTGCACGCTTTCTTCCGGAATAAATCGTCGCGCTAACGGATTTCAAATATTGAACAGCGGAACACTAAAGCACGTTAGGAAGGGAAAACGAATGGCACTGCGATTCGTCAATATTCTACACTAAGAATTCTTTTTTTATTATTAATACTTTTATTATATAAAATAATTAATAATTTTATTATAGAAAGGTATTGTGTTATATATAAGAAATAAGAAAAAAGCCTGAAAGCTTTCTAAGCATAATATAATGTTCAAACAGTTATATATTAATTATAATGTTCTATTAAATAAACAAATCAGCTGTTTGTGTTTTCCTTACATGACTAGGCAAGAAACATATAACAAAAACAAAATTTCGATGGTTGAATATATTTGTATAGCATATGTTTTTTTTTTAATTGTGGGTTTATATATTTGTACAGACTTTCAAATTTCCGCCATGCAATGACTATTTCTTCTTCATGCATGCCAGATATGCGCTGCAAATATTGGTCTGCATATACAGAATGCAATCTACCATGCGTTTTGCGCATGTTATGACGTGAATGCCATTTCATTTCACCGATATTGAGGGCAAAGAAATTGTTGTTTTACCGTTTAAAATATGTTGGAATAACATTTTTAAGTTGAAAACATGATGCGATAATAAGAATAAAGTTATAAGTACAATTATATGTCACATATAAGATGTCTCTGATATTAAATTATAAATTATACAGATGCATTTTTAATTAATTTGGAATCGATTCTTTTTGAATAAAAATATAGAGATATTACACACACACACACACACACAATATCTTTTTTTTAAATTACATATAATTAAAAATAAAAATTTTTCCAAATACAATATTGCTTATCTAATTTAAAAAAATATTATGATAATTATTATTAATTTTAAAATATAATAATATATAATTTAATAATAAAAATAAAATAATGAGATAGAGTTTGCGTATAAAGAATATACAATGAGAAGTAAATTGTTGACAACTATTGAAAACGATCTATAATCTTAAACATGATCTTCATGACTTTGATATTTGCATGTCAGGTGCGAATATAAAACTTGATTTGCTAAAAAGTAGGAGCCAACTTTTAATTGGTACGACACTATAACGGAGTTTGCGGCTCGATTGCGTGTATCAAACTAGTGAAATTAAAAGCACGATTCCAGTTAGAAATAATTTATATAGATAGATTTCAGCATTTTTATCAACTTTATCATGAATAAATGTGGAAAGAAAGGAATATATTGCATATAGATAAAACCTATTTATTTTTAAATCAATTAAAAAGAATGTTATTTATTGGTATATATAATTATTATAATCCTATTAATAATTTATAAAAACTTTATAATAGACACAAAGTGCTTGAAACATTTTTGAAATTTAGGTTGATCGGCATATTGTTAATTAAATATGAATAAATTTAATATTTATCTGAAAAAATTGATCTATTTCCTAATTAAAATGGAGCAGCGTAAAATTTTACAAACCTAATATATCTATTTTCTATTTAATATATTACTTACCAAGACTTTTGTTCCGAGATCTCCAAATACTGCGATCGGTGGCATTTCTTTAGGGACATATCGAAAAAATTCTGAACCTTTGTACCATTTGACAGTGTAAAGGGCTTCCGATTGTAAATCGTATTTGCAAGACATGTTGACTGTTGTACCAGCTGCCACTGCCAATGGAATGTCAATCGACACATTGCTTAGTCCTCGAACGTCTAGAAACAGGAAAAAATAAATTGTGATTGGTTCAGTTAATTATTTAAATATTAGAAGTCGCGCAGATATATTCTGGTAACCATTTTAAAATAATAACTATTAAAATAATGACTATAAATTTATTTATTTTTTTCTATAGTTTTTCTTAATAACTAAAAATTCTATTAACTATATATTATATAATATATTCTGCAATTTTACTGATGTTTAATATGATTTATACACACATATATATAAACAATCATATTAAACATATGTAAAATAATTGCAAAATATATTATAATATATAGTTAATAGAATAATTTTTGTGCTTTTAAAGCTTTATATTTATGAAAAATCATTTACTTTTGGCTGTATAGTAAATTTGAAGAATTGCTGATGTTTCAATATATTAAAAATCTGAAATGTAATTAGTCGAAGAATCTATTATTAAAATTAAATTATTTCATACTTAGATATCCTGTTTAGATGCATTGAAATAATTGCAAATTTTTTGTAAGTCAATCATATTTTTTCATATGACTATTTCTATTGTATATATATTCTACAATATTTTTATCTGTAGAATCTTTAGAATTCCAATTAAAGTCAGCGATATTTATCATTGAAAGCGCGTTCTCTATTGTGTACCGCTCGAAAAAAATGCCTGCAATCCAGAAAAAAGTCAACTAAATTTGTTAGACAACAATATTTTCTTACATTTTGACAGCGTAGTTATTTTTTTCATTAATTAATCAGGAAATGATTGTGTATGTCTTGTATTTAAAATAAATATTGGAGAGGAATTTTAATCTTCTTCAGTTCTGATTTTTATATAGTTTTAATAATTTAATAATAACGCGATAATCTGTTATTAAAATATTTGGTTTGAATAGAATAAATGTTATTTGTTGTGCACCATGTTTTATATCAAAAATTCTAAAAAAAAGAAAAACATATTGCTAATTAATTGACAATTTACAATTATTTGTTTTATTATAATGATAAACTGAGATTATAATTATCGTAGTTATATTTATTGTTTGTCTATATGCTCGGATTATATGCTCGAAATATATTAAAAGATTATATTTGTTATGTAGAGTACATTTAATTATATCGAAACATTGCATTTTGTCTTGAAAGCTGCAAATTAAATTAGATGACAACCAGTTTCGAACAATTACATGGAATCAATTATGTATTCCAGAAGTAAAATCTTTTCATTGGACGCACAAAAAGCTATTTCTATCTTTTTTCTAACAAGAAAAAGCAAATTATGCGCGATGCTTATCTTATAATAACTTAAACGAACAAGTGCTTAAACTTTCCGCGTAATCCCGCCACCGTCAACATTGTTCACTTCGAAGATTACAACTGGCAAACGGGTAAAAGGGCATTTTGCCAGAAAACGTCGGTAAAGATCGCGAAAAATAACATCACGATCGTCGACTTTTAAGCATCCATTGCGTACTTGCTTAGATCGAGTTTGGAACTTATTACTATTTCAGTGCACTTTACGTGCTCTCCTGTCATGCATTATTTATCGAAAGTTTGAAAGATCACTGCATCTTAAATTAGTAGTTATTATAACACATTTTTTCTAATAAAAGATTAACACAAAATTTTTAATTAAGAGATCAAAATCATTAATTGATCCTAAAATAAAGATTTGCAAGACTAATGGATGATTTATTCATATAGCTTAAAAAAGAATTTTACTCGAGAATATATTATGTATATAATATGATCTGTACAATTCACTGATCCGTTGTAACTTAATTAATATGTATACAGAAGAGTAGGTGCTGCAGGCATTTAGCGATACAAAATATCAAACATGTTAGGGAGATGTCAGCACTATGTGATCGAAAAGCATTATAGAAATACAGAAATGTTTGCAAAAGCATGTTGTTACGTTGTTATAGCAAATTTCCAACTATTATCGGTGACATTGCGAAAGATCTCCGTTATTGTTTCGGCTTAAATAAAGAAAAATTTAACCCGAGGAGATTATATATTTCACACGGCGTAAGTTTGCGAGATCAGCTACCAGCGAGCGTGCCGGAGACTCGCAATAGCGGACTAACGCGAAAGTTTAGTCATTAATTAACAGTTTTTTGGTGGATCCTCTTCTAATTAATTATTTATGACTTGATCTGCCGGTACTCATTGTGCTGATAAAGTAATTAAACGATAATTAATACGAAAAGTAATTAATCGGGAAATTGGGTGTTGGGCGATGGAGGAAAGTAGAAGGAGAGAAGAGATCATGGTGATGCGTTTCGATCGTAAAATGTAATTTTAATAACAGCATCTGAACAACTTCCTTGATGTCAAACATAACGGTCGTAAATGCATATGTATTGATTGCTCTAATAATCATGAGATTGATGCGACATATGGAAAAAAAATTAATATCGTCATTACGATGGCGAAAAATAGGGAAAGCAATTTTCTGTGTCGCTCCTCCTCGTATGCATTTGCTTTTAATAACCGTAATATAATTGGCATCATTAGCAGGCACGTTTCTATTCCCTCTGACAGAACATCTCCGTCTCAGTAAAGCGAAAGTTTTTCACTTACAAAGACGCGCGCCTCTTTATCACTAATCACCGCACAGTTTTGAACTCGGCCGACGTATTAGAAGAGCGATGCGTAATTAGAAGCGGTAATTGGAACGTCTGCTCTGCGAAGTTTCACCGTTGGGCTACGTATAATCAGTTGTTTAGTCTCAACGCGCGCGCGGATGCAACGGCGCGCTCGCAGATCGCTGCATCGAGATTTAAATACCAGGCGTTCACTAATCACCTCGCTAATCCTTAATTACCGCTCCTCGCTAGGAGCGCGCGATTGTTATTCGCATCGCGGCTCACCGTGGTGCGGGCCTTCCGTTTTTGGAAGACGAAACCTTCCCATAAATAACGGCAGCGCCGAGACAATGCGGCATCGCATAAACTCGCTCCGCGAATATATCAGACTATAGCCTTAAATTATTGCGGGAATAATAAAGTCCGCGAGTGCACATTCAAGCAGATTCGAAAGCATTCTTCGTTAGTTTTTTTTTATCGTCTCTGAATTTATATCAATTGGCCGTGTTGATAGGCAGAAATATTGTACAAATAGCGAAGCGTGGCGAACCACACGCACTGAATATTCCATAATTGAATGTGAAGCAAGCAACAGATTGAACACATTAATCAGCTAATAAGGGCTGCAATAACTCAATAAGCAGAGCGGAGTGTATGTTTATCACGTATTGTGTAATATGTATCTGCGCAAAGTAGTATTTGATTCGAAAATTTATGTAAAACTGTTTCAAACAAATGATTCCAAAATCGATGACATTAATCGGTTTTTGCGGTGTTACAAGAAATCAATATGGGGGAAGTTAGTTACATTCGATTTCATATATCTCATAACTATATTGAAACACTAGTTTCGGAAATCAATATAATATGCGTGCATTTAATTAATAAAGCGGTTTAAAATAAGTTAACTTATTACATATTAGATGTTGAATATAAAAATCATTTTTATATATAATCTGACTTAATCAATTAGTTAAATATTATTTTGTTAATTAAATATATTTAAATTGAATACAACATATTAAATCTAACAAAATGTATATTTGACTTAAATATTAATATATCTGTTTAATTCACAAAATAATAATTAAGTTGACCGGTTTAGTCGAGTTAACAATTTTTTCAATGTATTCTGTTAGCTAAGATACAAAATAGGTAATAAATGCATGTAGATGTATGATAATAGATTTAATAAGAATATGTACAGCCTATGCATTAGAATAAGCAGTTAGATGTTATTTGCGAGTTATCATTAAAAATAAAAATGCAGTTATACCAAGATTTGCGCGACCTCGTTTATTTCACATACATATATATGATATGTGTGTATATATGTGTACTTGAAATAAACGTTGTCGCGCACACATTATAGTATAATTGCGTTTTTATTTTTAATGATAACTCGCGAATGATATAATGTTTAATCAAGTTTAAATGCTATATATATTTATATATACTTGAATTTGTGAGATAATCTTAAACTCTTAATTGTGGCATACATTTATATATGCTGATGTGCGAATCTTTGAGAAGCCTTTTGCACATTCTGCATATCCATAGCTAGATACCTTACAGACATAAGACCGGAAAAGCCAAAGGCGTAAAGAGTCTGTGCTCCGAAATGAGATCCTTTTCTTTCTTCGAAACTCAACTAAATGAAAAACCCATTCTTGCGAAAGAACGTCAGCTATAGAAGCTTTTATTGTTTCATGAAAGGCGAGAGCAGAGAGGGAAAAAGAGATATTGAAAATACGCATTGCAAAAACCTTTTACTTGGCGAACTCCCGCCGATCGACTTGCGTATCAGATGAATGAAAGCTGCACGAACACCTCTTTCTACCTTTTTTAGAACTTATTTAACAAGCCTGCGCCGTATCCCAGAATTTATATGAGCTCAATCTCTCAGCGAAAAATTTCTTTATTATTCACAAAACCGTAGAATACACAATGAATCAAGACTCTCACTAATGAATCTGTTAATATTTAATGTGCAGATATTTTAGCTGGTATTACAATATCCGTTTACAAGATGGTATAGGTTAGTCAGTCATACTGGATTATATAATAAGAGTATATAAAAAATTTTGATTATAATAAATTTCTTGTAGCACATTACACATACGATACATATACAAACGTTTTTCCCTTAAAACAAAATTTTTAAGGCAATATAAAATTTCATTATGTAAAACGTTACATATTCATTTTCAAAGCTGCATGAGTTGCTGGCTCATCACGATTCTGTTATACGCAATCCGTTACCGATTGATAGACGATACGGGACGATCTTTTAATTTCAAAAATGTAAATGTATCGACATAAATATATCAGTTATGATCGAAATAAGTATATCAGTTATATAACACATTCTGCGCGACTTTAATTTCCAATGGATTACTGGTTCGATTTGCTTAATATCGCAAAAACTG